CTTCATTAGTTATATCTGTTTGCTTTGTGCCTTCATGACAATGATGGAAGCTGTAAATAAGTATATTGTCCCATCTTAACAAGGATAGCGTATCCATCAATAAGGACACCTACTCTGCTGAGATCTTTGCAAGGCTGTAGAGGGGAGTAAATTAAAGGGAGAACAACATCCTTCATCTAAAATGTCCTTGTTCTGTCACTTAATGTTTTACCCTTGCTAATATTTTTCAAAGTCTGGCTGTTAGTCAAAGAAGTCACTCAGTAAATGTGATATATTTTATCCAACCTAAGTCTGCTTGGCCCTAGAATGATTTTTCTAGGCAGCCATGCCTGGAAGTGTGACCTGAAACTTCTTCTGTGTCTTCTCACATTAATTTCCCAGCAGTCACAGACGTTTCCCAGTGGGATGTGTGGGGATGGACGTGGTAACCAGAGGAGGTCACTTAGCTGAACAGGGGGATGCAAACTCTTGGGGAAATAAATTAGGGTCTGGATAAAGGCAGCTGGGTGAGACTCCACTCTCTGGAGTGCCCTCCCCAGCCTGGGCTGACTGGTTGGTAAAAAGATGCTTAAAAAAGGTTGGTAAAAAGCCCAAGGTGTCTCCTCTCTCTCACTAAATTCACTTGGGTGCAGCAAAAGCTGTCTGCTAACTTGGAACTGTGCTGTTGGCAGATGCCAGGGCTATGGGCCCACAGTGCTTGGGCAGGAACTATGGTGATCCCTGGCAGAGAGTGAGGAGGGGGTGAGAGATGGTCTGTGCCACCTGCTGGGAGAGATCCATACTCGCAGCTCCTTGCCAAGGGAGCCCACAGATGGGAAGCACATCCCATGTGAGCCCACCTGCATTGCACAGCTGGAACTGAGTCCATGCAGCCTGTGCAGGGAGCTCTTCCATCCCCAGGAAGGGACAGGAGCAGTTTCCAGCTCCAGCTTTCCCTTGGTGTGACAGGGCTCAAAGCAGCCTGACAAGGTGCTGAGGTTCCCCAAAACCAGCACCTTCCCTGACTCCTCTGCATGGCATTTATCCCTGAAACCAGCACCTTCCCTGATTCCTCTGCATTGCATTTATCCCCAAAATCAGCACCTTCCCTGGCTCCTCTGCATGGCATTTATCCCTGTAACCAGTACCTTCCCTTATTCCTGTGCATGGCATTTATCCCTGCCTCAGCACCTTCCCTGATTCCTCTGCATGGCATTTATCCCTGAAACCAGCACCTTCCCTGATCCTGTGCATGGCATTTATCCCCAAAACCAGCACCTTCCCTGACTCCTGTGCATGGCATTTATCCCTGAAACCAGCACCTCCCCTGATTCCTCTGCATGGCATTTATCCCCAAAACCAGCACCTTCCCTGATCCTGTGCATGGCATTTATCCCTGAAACCAGCACCTTCCCTTATTCCTGTGCATGGCATTTATCCCTGTATCCAGCACCTTCCCCGACTCCTCTGCATGGCATTTATCCCTGAAACCAGCACCTTCCCTTATTCCTGTGCATGGCATTTATCCCCCAAACCAGCACCTTCCCTGACTCCTGTGCATGGCATTTATCCCCCAAACCAGCACCTTCCCTGACTCCTGTGCATGGCATTTATCCCCAAAACCAGCACCTTCCCTGACTCCTGTGCATGGCATTTATCCCCAAAACCAGCACCTTCCCTGATTCCTCTGCATGGCATTTGTCCCTGAAACCAGCGCGTGTATCCCTGGCTCACCCGGGCTAAACGAACAAACAGCAGTAATACGAGGAATCTTGAAGTGATGGTMTGTCTCCAGGTTTGTGGGACAATCTAGGAGTGAAAATCAGAGTGTGGCCTGCAGAGGGAAGAAAAGAGCTGTGKTAGCACCACTGCGCATCCCGGGGGTCTGCTCTGCTTCCCGCTGCTCCTCTGGAGCAGGCTCCGAGCTGAATAGCTGCCTTTAAACATTAAATACATTCAAAGCCCATTCATATCAAACCAAAATTAAACTGCTGGATTTCATTCAAGAGTCATTCCCCTGAGAAAGGGCTGAGAAGAAAATAATGGTTAGCTGAATGCCTCACCCATTCAGCACKCAGGAAAATCCCCCAGGAGGAAAGGTAAGGAGTGAGGCTGGGCTATCGCCTCACCTCATTGCATCGGTATCTGTGTATAAGCCAATTTCTCAATCCATTTAGAAATTCACTAATTGTCATTGGAACTATTTGCTGATGACTGTGAAGTAGCTCGGTAATGAAGAGGAAATCCATTTATTCGTTAACATTTGCGAAAATAATTGCCTGTCACTCCACTGAGCATCCTTTGCCCCAGAAACACTTGCTCTTCAGCACCTTTTTATTTTTTTTTTTCTTTCTGAGCTGCACACTTTGAAACGCCAGTTACAATTTCCAGTCCCCAAAGGGCTCATTCTCAGCTGCTGTGACAGGAGTGAGGGTGAGCACCCCACAAGGAGACACTGAATGTCCTGTCACTGCTGCTGCAATGAGAGCAGAGTGTATTAACTGTGCTGCAGGGTCTGCCTGGCTGGTTGCAGAAACTGTGGGTTTTACAGGGCTGCTGCAAATCTGCAGCTTCCCCCACACCTCTGCAGGGCTGGGAGAAGCCATGGATGCAGGGCTTGGTGTCCGTGGGTCTGTCTCTGGCCCCAGCCCTTCTTTCTGAGCTTCAAGGGCTGTCTTCTGCCCTCCATTTGGTAATGCTGCTCTCAGCCTTCACCAAGATAACAAAAAGACTGGGTGAAGCCAGGCATCCATCAKGAAGTGAGTCCTGGAGGGAGGAGGAAAGGTTTTTTGGAAGGTAGATGTCTCAGGATCTGAAGATGGATGTCTCAGGAGGGGAGGAATGGGGAGAGGATGGAGATCTGTATTCCTCAGCTCTCCATGCCACTTGGCCCCATGAGTGCAGCCAAGCACCTGATCCTGCAGTGGGTGACCCCAAAACAGCTTTGTCCCCTTTGCTCACAGCTCACCCCTCTCCATCRTGCCCAGCACTGCCTCTGCTGCCACCTCTGCTCCCACCAACACAGGGAATATGAACCAACATGTTCCTTCGTTCTGGGCAAGCAAAATTTAGATTTTGCATGGCTGAGAGGCTCTGAGGCCTCTGTGTGCTGGGGAGGGTGAGTTTGCTGCAGCCACATTTAAGGTGCTTTGACAGGTCCCTGGAAAAAAGTGGGAGATGGAGTTTGCCACTCTCTGAATCAACAGAAATCTGCCAAATCACACCTACTGGGCTTGTGCTGCTGTCATACCTTTCATCCAAGGGCCTCTTGTTTGTTTRTTTGTCAGCTGTGATGAATTTTCATTGTTTTCTGGGTATGGGCCAGGTGAAGGGCTGGGTCAGGCAGGTACTTTGGGGTTGGGCTTCCCATGTGGAATCCAGGTTTTGGAAGACACTGGCTGTGTTTGCTTCTTGGGCAGGTATTTAATGCATTTCAGGATTATGCAACTGCCTTTTGCTTTCGGGTGCTGCGGTGTGAAGAGGGAGAAGTGTGTGGGTGAGTGTAAATCAGCTCTGTGCAGGGAGAGCTGCCTGTTTATACCTGGGGATTTAGGCTTCCAGATATTTAATTTCTGGTAACTGTACTTCAGCTTGTTGAGACATTTCAGTCTTGAAAAGCCTCTTGTGGATAATGAGCCTATGGGGGGAGGCAGYGCTCCCAGACTGGGGAGCAGGGGTGGATGGGGGCCTCATGGCAGCAGAGCAATTAATGAGCAAAGAGGTAGCCAGTGTTTGCAAGAAAACTCTGGGAGAGAGGGGAATAAAGTAAAAGGAGAGAGAGGTTTTCCTGAATCTCTTGAAATCAGCAACAAGCAAAGCTCATCTCAGTTTAAAACATCCCACGTGATATGTTGTGGGGTGAGGGACCATGGGTGGTGGAGGGTGGGGGATGTAGGAGATGGTTCTGCTTTGAGCTCTGGGGTGTGCCTGGAGAAGGCTCTGGAATGGCTCTGCCAGGCCCAGGAGGGACCTTTTGTGATCCTTCCAAGGCTGTCCCAACAGAGGAGCAGAGGGGCAGTGTGACCCACTCCCTGTGCCCTGGTTTGGGGGCTGGTGCTGTAGGGTGCCCCTTTRTCTGTGAACCAGGAGCAGAAATGTCCCTGCTGCACTGGGGACCTGGGCTCACAGCTCGCTGTGTGACAGAGGCCAGCCCTCCTCCTTCCTGCCATGTCCTGGGACACAAAGCTCCTACT